TACCTCTGGTGCAAATTACTGACCTCTGTCATCATTTTAAGTGGGGGAACTTGCACAATCGGTGGCTGACTAAATACTTTTTTGCCCCACTGTATAATGTATATTGCCTTAGATCTCTGCAGAAATTTGCTATGCAATCACCCAAAGCCCTTATTAGAGTGTGGGAGGCACATACATTCAGTTTAGTTATTATATATACTACAAAAGTTAATCTAATCTTGGCCTGGTGATATGAAATTGTATTTTTCAATGGTTCTGGCTGTCCTTGATGCACCATCAAGACTTAAATGGTCACGTTTATCTTTTCAAAACTCAGTTTTTCTTGAATGCAGCGTAATTACATAAAATTTTTGGTGGGTATATTAATTGTCTTGAAAAGTCACAAACTAATTCAAGTGTTTCAAATTAACTTCTTTTTGGTTTCATGATGTTGAGTGCATATATCCACAACATTTCTCTGAGTCAACTTCTTTAAAAGGACCCCTCCATGAAAACGTGTTTTAACCTTGACGTTTTTTCATTCCATGCCAGTTTAAGAATTAGATCTCCAAAAACACAGTCGTTTTTTTATTTGGACTGTTTTTAGAGTCTCAAGGTTGGTGGTCTGATGATCTGATAGGTTTTCTGCTTAGTGTCAGCTACATTGCTTCCTGTGTTCTTGAGGCTAGATATACCCTTGAAAAAAAACATAAAAACCTGTATCTTTATTGGGCTTTACAAGGATGAATTAACATATTATCAGACTGATTTTAAATAGTAAGTAAAATTGTGTGTTTTGTTGTCTCATGCTGTCAGCTAACAGTACACGACTGTCTTTAACATCTTAGTTAAGTTAATTTAGCAGCATTAGTGAAAGCAAATGTCTTAATTACAAACAGTTCAGATGAAAATCCTTCATGGGATCTGAGCTCTACCAGCCATGTGGACCCACTTTGTCTCTATAATGGCAGGAGAAACAGTTTGAGTAATGTGGAATGGCTCTGTAAGTGTCCCCTGGTAAAATGATCTTCTTTACTCTCCTGCAGCCCCAGTCAATGACAACGATTAGCTATAGCCTCCAGTGCTGACTTTATCCTCAAGGTTAGATGTAGCCTAGAGCCTATACAATTGCAATGGAACAGAGAATTGTTTGACAAAAAAGTTGAATTAATGTTGAATTGATCTCAATTTTGTGGATTTTAAGACAGTTAGTAAGACAATATAAATGTAAAGCCCATTTTGCCAGGATAAGAAGTAAATGGTAAACATATGATCATGTGAATAACTGAAAATACAGTGGCAACATTTTTGATGACTGAACATTTAAGTTGATTCACAGGAAAAAATACCATACTAGATTTCCCAGATTAATATAAAATACATGATAATTTCAGGATTATTCAGAATTATGTGTGAGTTTATGGTTTGACAGAGCAACCAAAACCATCAGCCTAGTCCATAGGAAGTTGTTACACATTATTTCAACTATTTTTTGAAATATCATTTACTACTAATACTAATAGATAACCGATTGTTTCTTAAATAGTCAATGAAAAAACACTATTTATAATACTCACATGTACCTTGTTCCTATATTTTTAAAATATTTTGATGGAAAAAGTCTTAATTTGAGTATTGCAAATGCAGTTAAGTAATAAAGATGCCCTGGCTCCTTTTGCACCCTTTTCTTACCCTTTCCTCAACTCCTCTCTGCTGCACTCCGCATCTCCTACACTCTGCCTTTCTCTGACTCCCACTCTACTCCTCCACTGCCCCCCTCCTCCCTTTACTGTATCCCCTCCATCTCTCTTCTCTCACCCTTTCTCCCTCTCTTTTCTATGCCTCTCTATCAGGAGAAGAAGAGAGGCTCCCCAGAGGGACTGTGGTTCGTTCCCGCTGCCGCCTACACTGGCTTAATGAGGAGCCTGCGGGAAGGGGTGAGTGTCTCTGTGTATGTCTGCGTGTGTCTGTTTGTCTGTGCCTGTGTAGCTGTGACTAAGTCTCTCTAACTGTGTGTGTGTGTGTGTGCGCAAGAGTGTGTGGCAGGGGATCCCTGTGAACTGTAATGATGAGGCAGCTGTGGGGGCCTAAAGCGTTGTTTGCCAGCTGCAAGTCAAGGGCATGCAGAGCAGTCACACACACACACACACACACACGTGCGCATTCGCACTCTTACCTGCATCAAACACAACCCTTTACTGCTCAGCAGTCTGACCTCAGCAGCAATTAGGACCCTCCAGACACACATATACAGTAGATGGAGCAGAAACACAAATAGAAATGTAGATACTTCTTTCCTTTTTGCAATTTTTTCTTTCACTTTTTTCTTTTTCTGTCTTATTTCATCCCTTTTTCTTACTTTGCCTTTTACATTACTGTGTGTTTTTTTTTTTTTTAAAGTGAACTTATAAGACTGTAGTTGATTTAACACTAAAATAAAGATTAGAAATGGGCTTGTGCTTTTTGAAGCATATCTATTAAGAAAGTGCTCCTACATCACATAAAGAAATATACAGTGTTTGTCTTTCTAGTATTTTTACACGGTGACCTTTTCCCACGGATTAGGGACACATTTGGTAGACAGTGATATACAGTGAACAGGTAAAAGGAAAGAAGGCAATGGATGGATGTTGTTTTGTCTCTCAGGTGCAGAAAGGGTCTTGCTGTGGTGGCCCACTATAGCAGAATGAATATAGATGAAACCGGTCTGCACAGTTGTCAGCTAGTACCTACTGTTGCTTCATTACCACTGGGAGTGTAGGGGGGTAGATGAACAGAGAAGAGGTGTGTGTGTGTGTGTGTGTGTGTGTGTGTGTGTGTGTGACAGGAGCGAGGAGAGGGGTGTAGGGGAGGAGAGAGAAGGTTGACTTATTTATCATTATTGAGCTGAGAGAGTATGCTGATGGAAACACACACTACTCACACACAGCCTTAGGGACCAGACACTCATCCTAAGACCCAACCTGCCTCACTCTTTTTCCATCTCTCCCTCTCACACTCCATTTTCTCTCTCCTCCCAGTCTCCCTTTCCCTGACGAGCTGTTTTTCCAGTAGAATAATATTTGTCATCACGTTACAGAGCTGTCTATTTGGGCGAACTTTGTCTCATGGGTTTTACAATTATTGGAGAGATAGTGGTCACATTATATGGTTGGATGTTTGAGATACAAATCCTTGTTTGGGCACCTATGGGCAAAATACTTGTTTTGTTGCTTTATTTTCTTTTACTTGTTAAACAGTAAAACTTGATTAACAATTTCAGTGAAGCACTAAAACGTGTTGAATAGGTTGAGAACTGCCATGGGCTTTCTAAGAAATTGACTGAGGAGCTTTAAGTTAACTGATGTTTATAAATCAAGTTAAGGCTATATTAAAACACCTCCACATTATAATTTCCAAAATCTTTAATAAGGTCCTCTTAAGGAAAACTGTGAAAATGAAAAAAATTGCGGTTCATTGTGGTTGCAATAAGCTTTAGCAGTATTTTTCCACCATGCAGAGATGATGCACCAAAAAAGTCATTAGGAGGAAACTTTACCAAGTACCCCATCACAAATGTCAAGATGGAGTATACAAAGCCAGATCTGGTTAAGATGTTGCTTTAACTTCAGGTTGTGCACAGATGAAGTTAAATCTTAGCTTTTTGTCTACAACTTCTAAAAGTAGGTTTAGAGAAAAAATAATGCAAAATTTGACCATGAGATTTAAAGCATCCTCCTTTTTGGGACAGTTAGTGGCATATGAAATATTGAATGGATATAGAAAACAGTTCCACTAAATATCAGAAGTTTTCACTGCAATGTCCTCCAGTTAGTCACGTAAAGGCCTGGCAAAAACAACACAAATCCAACATGAACTGTTTAAATATAAGCAAACTAGAGATTTCTGAATGACCTTTGCAGTCTATGGGAAGAGCTTAAGCATGCCATGTGAACAAAATAAGCTAAAAAATTGAAGTGTTTAATGGCTTAGCTGTGAGAAGGTTGATGGAGAGAGAGCTACAACAGGCTACTGAGTAAAGTTGAATTTTGCTTGACAGGGGTGACCTGTTAACCCATGATGAAATAGCCAAAAATAGAGAGTACACGCACCCCATATAAAAGAATGAGCTGCTCCCATGGCATCAGTGTTGTCTTAAATGTCAAAAAATGTGAATTTAGATCTAGTCAGATGGTCTCTATTGATTTCTTTAAGGTTTAATGAATCCCTTACCCTAAGGAAAGCAAAGTGAAGACAATATGAGACTAGTTGACAATTCTGTCACATATAAGGCTAGATTTGGTCCAGTTTTTATATAAAAATATTGATCAGTATAGCTAATTAGTTTTTAGATGAAATATTTTTAGTAGCTAAGGCACAGAGCCAATTTGTTGGTTTGTCAGTAGAGCGATATGGTGGAGGAAATGGGGACTGACAGAAATGAAGAAAGAAGGATCAGTGTAGTGGGGAAGGGGGTGGAGATGGCAGGGAGAAAGAGAGAAAGTTGTAGTTGGACAGGGGGAGTGGATGGCATGGAGTGAAAGGCAGGTTTCCAGGCCAGACTGAGCTACAGGAAATTATTTATGAGTCTGAACAAGATGATGCTTCAACTGCCTAAGATGAAAAGTGTATGTGTGAATATATGTGTGCGTGTGCGCGTGTGTGCAAAAAAAGTGATGTGTGAACAGTATTGCAGTGATAGAAGCCACGGGGCCAAAGGCAGAACTCCCCCTTACACACATGGATCCTTACATACAAACATACATACACACACAGCGGTGGTGGGCTTATTAATGATTTAACACTATCTTCCACAAAGGAGAGGAGACCAGAGGGGGATGTCGTGGGCCCTACCCTTTTGTCTAACATAGGATGACCATTGTATATGCATGAACACACACACACACCTAGCGTTAATGTTAGTAAATGTGTTATATAATAATGGATACTTACTCATCGTATTCTTCAGAATCCTTTTTTAGAATTAATCCCCATGTTTAGTGAACAAAAAATGAAGGAAAATAGGCCAACATATGACGCAGTATAACCTAAGTTTATATTATCTTTACTTATTATATTATTGTTTTTCATAGACAATCGAGCCTTTAACTCTTTTGGAGTAAAAAAAAAAAAAGGGTTGAAATTTGGCACAGTGATTTAGGGCACTCCTTGCTAGCTTTTTCTGTGGTTGTGGACAATTAGATGGAAGGTTCCTGCCTGAGTAAAAGGATCCAGATGTATCTACCTGAAATTAAAAGCTTGCAATGAAAAAAAAGTAATGTATTTTTTCGTTAGTTCTGCCTTAAGCACAATTAGAAACAAACACAATCTGACTTTGCTAACAACATACAGAGATGTACATCTCTGTCTTTGGATGAATACAATGAATAATTACTCAGATCTCAGTCTGGAAAATCAATCCCTCCATTTATCCATGCATCCATCCATTTTCTGCTTCTGCTGCTAGTTTCGAGTCTTACGAGGCGTAGTTTAAGCAGAGAAACCCAGATCTTTGTCTCTCCACCTGGGAACACTTTGAGGTTCCCAGGTCATCCAAGAGATGTTCTCCAGCATGTCCTGGTCTGCTCCAGTGCCTCCTGCTGACAGGACATGTCTGAAATTCTTCATCTCATTTCTTTGGTCAACACTCAGCGCTTATAACTACTGAACATAGCTCAACTGATAAATGGACAGCTTTGATTTTACACTTGGTCTCCCTTCACCATAACAGCCTGGCACAGTGTTGGTACTTGAGAAACTCAACAAGTACCAACACTTACTCAGTCTCAACTTGGATTGGTCAGTCTGACTTGTCTTACTTTGCAAAAAATGAATAATCATCTTTTTCAGTAATTCTGTTGTTGATTTTAACAGTGACCACATGCTTGCTTGGTTATGTAGCATTTTCCAGCTTTCTGAATCCTTATTATGCTTCTTCTAAGGCCCTGTCAGGTATGGCTCTTGAGAAGACTAGACTTTCACAAGACACACTGTATGACTTTTTTTTTTTATGACTTTTTTTTTATAGGTAGGAGCATTTCTACAACCCACTCTTTCATTCGCATCCCTTTAACTGGAGGATCTGACTTCAAGTAGCTTTGGGAGAAATCATTAGCATAGAGGTTCTTTTGCTTATCCCAGTCTGGACCAAGAGATTTCTATGTTGAATAAAGGTATAGAAAAGGAGTTTTTATGTTGGTGTTAGTTTAGTCGTATAGTGTTTTTCCGTAACGCTGGGATGAAGCTCATGTGCCAAGTTGAGATGGTGTCTCACTGAATTGTAAAACTGCCAAGGAAATGTGCATCTTCATGGGTTGTTTGTTTTTGTTTTTTTGTTTTTTTTTTGGGGGGGGGGTTGTTTTTTTTAAAGGAAAGGAACATTTTTGCTTCCTGTTTGACTGAAATCTCATGAAACTCACGATTGAAACTCACCACACCACAGTGGGTCTGAATGGTTTCGCTAATAGTTCTTTACATAATTGTTAGCTAAAACATATGTTTGAATTTTAGCAATGATGTACCGTTGGCTTCATTTGATCAAGTGGAGTTCAGAGCACTACTTCAGTTCATGCAATACTTAATTTTCTTTACAAAAAACCCCCAAAACTTTAATTAAATTAAATTATTTGCATGGTCATATTTATTTATTTATTTTCAAGTTTTGGCAAAATTGGCAGAGATACCCAGCCAATCAAATTTGGCACAAAGCTGTGAGATGAGAAGTAGTATCTTCAAATTTCCTTTTGTTGACATAAAGGTGAAGAAAATTGTATGATTTGACCATTTGGAGGCGCTGCAACAAGCTTCCCCATAACATGCTTCCATCCAGGCTATTGACCGGATCAAGTTGCCTCAGTGACAGTGGCCTATTGAACCTTTTGTCCCCTCCTCAGTGCTTGCAGCTATATTTAATATGTACCGGTATGTTTTTCTTTTTTTTGTGACATATTGGTTTTCCCACCTAATTGGTCCTTTCCCACATCTCTATTACTTGTGCATAAATTTTTTCTCCTGTCAGCTATTTTGTCCAAGTCAGCTTATAAGCCTTTGTTCCTCGATGTTTACCTGTTTGTCTACAAGCCTGTGTTTCTCTTTGGGGTGTTAGATGTGTAGTGTGCGAGGTCAGTAGACAATGTCTGCGTTGCTGCCATGGGGGCTTATTCAAAACCAGGTGCACTGGCTTCTAAAGGATTTTAAATGGAAAGAGAAACCACATGAAACGTGAAAAAGTGTGCTTAAACATGCACAAGATTTCAACTCAAGAAAGTGATTTAGTTTTTCTGATCTGCTTGTCTTTGTACTTCAGACTCAGCAGACAGGTGCAAACATGTTTGGATATAAATCTAATCCACTGATCAACATTTAAAGACAGGGTTTTATTGTTCAGTATCAGCCCAGCCTTTGAAGTCTTTCATTTGAATTTTTTGTTCTTTTTATTTTGCCAGGGGTTCAAAGCACATAAATCTTTCTGTGGAAAAAGGAAGATTTTTTTTAAAGTTTAAACTACTTGCCATAAAGCCAGTTAGTCATATTGATTTCTGATGAAACCGATTGTTTCTATTTTTGGTAATTCTGAGTTTAAACCTTACAAACTTAAATTTGTATGCTTTGCTTTCCTGTTGCTTGTGTTAAATCTGGCCAATGCACTCCTGGAAAGCTGAATTAATCATCGTAACATTTTGTTTCTTATATTTTTACAGTTATTATACTGCTATTGTGCTATAGACCAAAGGAAAACCTTTGGTCTAGCTTTGTAGGTTTTACCCGAGATCATGACTCTATTTTCCCTATAAACTCTGTAACCTCTTCTAAGGTCAGAATCAATCGTATTTTAATCTGTCAATGATTTGGAATTTGTGAAATGTTTTATTCATTTTTGTGCATTTTTACTTTTGGGGGGACAGGACAGTACAGTAGACAAGAAAGGTGGAGAGAAAGTAGGGGGAATGACACACAGGAAATAGCCTGGGGCAGACTTGAACCTGGGCCTCAGCAGGTGAGCCATATGCCCTCTGGCATGTGGTTCACCTGTTCAACCAGTAAGCTACACTTTTTAATTTAACAATAACTAACAATAACTTAAACAATAGCTGATAATGCTAGAAATATAATTAATATTAGTACATGTTTTGGAATTCAAAGCCCTGTATCTCTGATTTAGTCCAACACAGCAGAAGAGGATACCAAAATATACCAAACACATCCCTGGTGTCTGTAAACTAGAACAAGCAAAGAGCATTGTCTTGTCTTGTCAGCTGAGGTCATGAAGTGAAATTGCACTGCTGTCATTCCAATTACCAGTAAAATGACTCTGGCAGTTGCAACTTGATTCTGAATTTTAATAGCTCATAGAATTATTGATAGAATGAGGCTTAGTATACCACATTTTCCCAACCTAATTATTTCATCAGTTCCTTAACTCAGAACCAAGAAGTTGACATTTTTCTTTTTGAGTGAAATACTATGGCACACACTAAATTGTAACATATGCCTTTAGTAGTCTACCTATAATTGCATCTGTGGTCTCATGTGTTAGAGCATGGTTAATAGTTGATCCCCAGCCCCTCCACATGCCAAACTGTTGTTGGGCAAGATGTCAAGATGGGGGTAAATCTATCTTTAATGGCTGCTGTGTGTCCAATGGGGATGCAAGTCATAGTTTGTTACTGACAGAATATATCTGAGGTTACGTTTACAAATACGGATTAGCTTTACCTCTCTCTCACCTTACTGTGCTGATCATTTATAAGTGTTACAATATTTGGCATCGCAAAATGCCTTAAGGGATTTTTTCCCCATTATTTTGTTTTTGTTTTAGGAGGCGTGATGCAAAAGTGATTTTAAATGGAGGGTGACGCCTCCTCTAGATCTTCTTCTGCCTCATGAAACTAAGTGGTGATGGGATGGTGATAAGTGGTGATATAGTTCCAGATTTTAAAATACATTAGGCTCGGCCATAGGTATAGCTCTGGTATATAGTTCTTACTCTACAATTGAAAAACAAATCCCTAGTATATCTTTTATTGTCTCACAAGTGGCAGTAGTAGCCCTGATCCATTTAGCAACAGAGTAGCATTACGGAGGGTGGATTACCTTGAAGAGTGCACAGTAAATTAACGCCCCACCAATATGCACTGAACACATTGAGCTATTACTAACAGTACAGGCCTGAAAGGGGAAAATTAACTTTAGTCGGTGGTAGAACCTCCTTTAGGAGCAACAACCTCAATCAGACACTTCCTGTAGATATTTCCACAACAATGAGGAGACTCTTGGGGCCATTCCCATTACGGCCTGTCTTAGCTGAACAACCTTCATGTGCAGAGGATGTCAGTCGGTTAAAATCAGGGTACTGACTTTAGGTTAATGTCTAGTTGCATCATTTTGTTCTCACAATGCTCCATCCACCCTGCTTCACAGTTGGGATGATATTTTGGTGATGGTGTGCGTCTCCTTTTTTCTTCTTCTCCATACATGATGTTATACATTTTTGTCTCAGAGTATCAGCCTAGAGGTGTTTGGAAAAAAATGGAAAGCAGTGATTTGACAAACACTGGTTACTTTTGTGACTTTTTCTTATTTAAAACAATTTATTTATTTATTTATTTTTTGTTCTAGGAGTTGGTGATATAGTCTTCTGATCTCATTTACCTAATTGAAACACCCAACTCTAAATAGCTTCTGGAGAAATTGTTTACAGAGCGGTTCATATTCCAGCCTGACCATCTTATGACTTCATATGTTCAAAGACATGACAAGTAAAAGTATGTTTCTTTAGTTCAGTCTTGTTAATGCTTGTTAACCCCTCAAGCTCTTTTCTGAACTGAACAGTTTCCATCATATTACAGGCCTCTTTATAGAACAAAATGAGCAAAAATATTTTTATTGGTCATATACCCAGATTATTGGAAGAACAATTGTAAAAATGTTACTTACTAATTTATTTGAGCTTACCTCTCTGGGAATGTAAAGTCTAACTAGAGCTATAAGGATAATATAATGAGAGTACTTATACTGGGAGACATTATAGTGCGAATGACTTACTCTTTTCTCTGTCTGCTGTATTTCTCTCTGCATCATAATGATGGAATTTCTTGCATTAGCAACTTGTTTCTCACCACATATAAGGATATCTCTCTCACTCTATCTCTCTCACTCTTTGTCTTTAACACCCCTCCTCTTCTCTGTGTAGTTCTTGGCAGGGCTACAGTCTATTAAACACACAGACAGTGGGTGCTCCCCCGTGGGCTCATTAGTGAGCTGGCCCGCACGGCCTGGGGAATGCTGGAACAGACCATTCTGTCAGTTCCCGGAGGGGTGCCAGAGGATTCATTATGCCGTTGTTCAACATAGTCTCTTGGTGGTGAATAGTGCAATGTGATGTTCTATATTGGATTAATAGGTCATCTATTTAAGATATTAGTCTTGATTTTGTTTCCATATACTTGTTGTATGTCGTATGTGATGTATGACATGAAATAACCAAGGCTTGCAGCCTGATCACAGATGCTTTCTTCAATGTCACAGGTAAATGTGTTCACAAGAGAACAAACTTTTTAACACCTAAAATTACATTTTGCCATTTTGTGATGAACATAAGCCAAATGATTTATCCTTTTTTTTCAAGAGAGGATTAATACAAAATGTTGTTATTGTATTTTGGGACCAAAGGATATTCTTTGACACAGTCAGAGCACATTATGTAAAAACTTCAACTTAGGTCTAATGTGAACATCATTTCAAAATGACATGATATGAGTTCAGTTGTTTTTGAGGGAAAAAATATTTTTTGTATCAAGTATCACTGTTATTGTTTCGACTTTGTCTTAAGTATCGCATTCTTTATACTTACTTTATAAACAAAAGTGTTGACGTTGTGAACTGTACAACAGCTTTTAAGTATAAACTGATGTGTTTTTCAGAATTAACATAATACATTTCCAGAGTGAAATAAATGTTTCAGCTGTTCATATGAGCCTTTACCACAAAATATTATTAGCTGTTTTTGTATGAATAGGCTCTATCGTATCCCACATCTAGGGAGATTGCGTGTAAATGATGTAACACAGTGAAACACAATAATAACTTGACAGAGGCAATCACTTCTGTTCTACTTCCTGGCTTTCTCCACAATGACATTCCTGGAAAACTAATTTCCTCAGCCACAGACATTTCATTAGCCCATTGTCTGAACACTGACAACTATTCTCTACTGAAGCAAAGGTGTGTGGGCACATACAGTATACACATCGAATATGCACACAAACATGTTAATACACAAGTTCACTCATACATACGCACAGCTTCGGTCTCCGTTTTGTACTGAGATGTCACTGAGAGCTAATCTAATTGTCAGTTTGTGATTTTATTACTTTTTTTGTACATCATGGCCACATTTTTCAGTAATCGGGTTTTAGGTGTTGAATTTAACAATCAACCAGAAAATGCTGAACCCTTATCATTATAATATACTCTGCTATTAAGATGCACACCAGTATGAAAGCTTAGCTTTACACATGTGTGACCTTCACCAGTTGATTGTGCTGGCACACAAATTGCTTCTAGCACAGGCAGTGGTAAAACAACAACTTTTTCTGTCTGTATTGTCTCTGTTTATGTTTCTAAGTGTTTCTGCTTGGTATTCTTTGTCTTTGCTGAAGGACAACTGTTGAGGTTTTTGTCACTAGCCTGTTATTATAAGCGTAGTTGGTAGTGTAGTCAGTGCCACCTTAATTTGATCATTTTACTATATGCTACATACTTAAATTATACATTACCTCGTGTAGTCCCAGTGCAGTTAGCTGATCTCTATGTCAGAGTTGATATACATGATTTAGAAATACATTTATGTTTGTCTTTCAGGATGACACTACAGTTCATCATATGACAGCAAAAGCAATAGAGAACATATCAACAGTGCTGTCTGGTCCCTCCCATCACCTGGTCACCACAGAGATAGGCTCCGCCCTGTGGTACCTGTTCACTCACTCCACTGTGGAGGCTGTCAGAGTCACTGCTATTTCTGTAAGCTCACACATATAAAGATATATCATAGATGTACAGCTAACTTTGTAAGAGCTATAAAGATATAGTAAAAAAAATGTGATTAATACAAGTTGACTTTGAATAATTCAAGCTGATTTCACAAACTTATTTGCATCAGCTGTATATATTACACAAAGTTAAAGCAGCCAAATGTGCTTGACTGTTTGAATTTCTTGTATTGCTGTTATAGTCTGCTAAAAAATAATTAATTCTGATGCGATTCTCCTAGTGAACCACAAGTAATGAATATCAACTACTTTATTATGATGCGTCACAAACCACATATTTTCTGAAACTATACCAACTTTCTCTACCCACTTTATTATGATGGACTGTGTATTAATTCAGGCCATGTGAAACATTTGATATCCCACATCTCCCACTGTCAGGCTTTGAACTATATTAATGTTTTTCTTAATGGCACAGTCATTTGTTATTCCATAATATGTATCACTGGACACTTGTTCCTTCACTAATGGCAAGGAATTTCAGTGCGATGTTACAGAGGAGCGTACATTATCTGTGTGTGTGTGTGTGTGTGTTTTTCTGTTTTTCCAGTCTATTTCTAGGCTAACCCGGGTGGTCCCAGCAATCTTCCTATCAGTAATTGACACCTGTGGTCCAGCAGCCATCTTGGAGGGCATAGGGGGTGCTGGAGCCCGGGTCCAGCAGCACCTGCTCACTGCTGTGGCCGCTGCCTTGCTCACCTCATGCACTCAAACACACCGTGTCACACAGAACAGGGTATGTGTATCACTTGTGTAGCGCGTCCGGCTACACGTACAAACCACAGCATTAGGTACACCGGTTAACAGCTTCTTAACACAAATATTTAATTTGATAGTCACATGGCAACACGTCTGTACAGTTAGGCATGTAAACCTATAAAAATATGATCAGCACAGTGGCTGGCACTGTTGCCTCACAGCAAGAAGGTCCTGGGTTCATCTCCACCATCTGGCTGGGGCCTTTCTGTGTGGAATTTTCATGTTTTCCCTGGGTGAATGATTTGCAAATCTCATGAAGTTATATTTTATTGAGAATAAAACAAAGAAGACTTATTAACTGTTTAATCTGAGAATACACCACACCACAGAACAGTTTGCCTCAGTCCATTTTAAATGAGCTTTGGCTCACAGAAGGTGGTGGATCATGCTTCTTTGCATGACAGAGCTTTAACCTGCACTTGTTGATGACACAGTGAACTGTGGTTCTGGAAGTGTTCCTGAGACCATGCAGTTATTTCCGTGAGAGAGAACTGTATTGGGCATGAAGAGCACCATCCAATATTGATTTTCAGCCTTGTCTCTTAGACATAGAGATTTTTTCCAATTCTCAGAAGCCTTTGATGATATTATATACTGGAGCTGATGAGCTAATCACAATATTTGGAATTGTACAACTTGTGGAACATTTTCAGAATAATTTTCCACAATTTGTAGATCCAGTGTTTTGAGTAGAGTAAATTAGGAATTTGGTGTAAACAATGTGAAAGCATGTTTTTTGGTGTAATGGTGTAGAGCGTATTTTCTTGGCTCACTATATAAACTCTATATAAATCAATGCCACAAACAATGAAAGCATTTCTGAATGTAAGAATGTGTCTAACCTATTATTAGCGAGGTGTACCTAATAAAGTATTGGGTGAGTGTATATTTTAATGTATAGCAACAAAAAAAGTGTGTCTCAAAAACCTAGACACAAACAACCATTGTGGTAAAATTGCTAGAGCATTATTTGACAGATGATTTGGTGGTAACATCACTACAAGGAAAGGGTTGATTTTTAGTTCATGTGAAGAATGTCTCTAATTAGGGAGTTTTACACAGTGGCTGAGGGATACAAACACTCCTGGATAACTACACAACAACACCAAGAACAAACGAAACTGGCCTTCTCAGATTCCTAACGTCTTTACACTGTTTTTACCACTCTCTTTCTCTCTTCCACACAGTTCATGAACTGATGCTGAACTGTTCATGAACTAATTTGTCAGGAATTGCTTATTTAATTTTTCATAAGACAGTCCATCAAGTGTGTATGTGATGTGCTAATCTTGGTAAGGCAGAGGAGCTGAAATTGATTTGAAGGTTTTAACTTGAAGTCTAGCATTGGTAATTGACTCTGAACTGAATTTATTTGCATTGAGTATTTCCAATTTAACACCAGAATACAAACTTAGTACTTCAACTCTGCTCTAATTATACAATGATATGCATTCACCCTCCAATCCCCTCCCCCCCACACTTTCCCTTGGCACAAGGACAGACAGACCAAGAGTTTGTTTACACAGAACTCTGTTAGTGTGTGTGTGTGTGTATGTGTACATGCATGTGAGTAAGTGACTGTGTGTGTGTGTACACTCAAGCAGAAGCGTTAATTTGTTGAGTGTGTCAGTATCTAGGCTAATTGGCTGAATGAACACGCTGTAGCCTTCTACTTCAGCAAAGCATTATGGGTAGTGGGGTGGGACTTATCAGCAAGGCACACACTACTGGGCTTTTGAAATTAATTAACTTAGTGTGTAACTCCATAAACACACATGTATACACATGCTTTCTCATTGCTGAGACACACACACATTCAGTGGTGCTGGTGATTATGATAATGGTAATGAAGGGTGGTCAGTCAAAATGTTTTCCAACCAGTTACTGCTGCTGAGTGAATAGTTGTTGTAGCTGTAGGCATGCGAGTTTGTGTATGTGTGTCTAGTCTGGGCTGATTAATTTTTAGCTTGTTATACGTACATTTTTGGAAAAAAAAATTAAGAAATGAACATGTTATTAGTTTGGATATTTTTCTCTTTTCTGTTGATTTCTGTTTCTTGTGATAAGGTGATATTAGGACAGCAAAGTCCTTTTTTCTCTTTAAACTTTAAATTTACCAGAGTACTTATTATGTTACCAAATTAACATTTTCAATTAAATATTTGTTCTTAGCAATATTAAAATCTGTAAACTTTTTTGACTATATATGATTTTGTCTTAATTACAAAGCTTAGTCTTGTTTTGGTTTGAGGGGGTTTTGGCAGCAGCAGAATAATTAGCAGTTGCACACCACCAAAAACACCAGTCAACTTGAAGTATTGGTTTTACAGTGAGTCTGTTTGTGTGTGGCAGAATGTGGTCCTTTTGACATCTTCTGTAGTAACACAGTACTTTGTCTGCTGTTAATTTGTCTGTGTGTGTGTAGCTTCAGAATGAGCATTAATTGAAGTAAAAAAAACAGACAATAATTGTTGTGTTCAGCTTTTTTTTGTTTCTTTACATCTTACAGAGCATCTGATCTTTTTTGGAAACCTGGTTGCAATTCATAGAATAGTAGATGTGTCCAGGACCACATTTTCCCTTAATCCTACACAAACACACAATACTAGCTATGTTGCCAGAGGATGTAATCTGTTTGAGGAATAATTTGAATTTCCTTGCTTTTAGGATTTGGTTTTGAAAGTGCTGCGTTGTCTAGAGAGTCCGTCTACGATAACAAGAGCCAAAGCATTACTACTGCTTCTTCTGCTCATACAAGACAACAGACACACACTGCTTTACTGCTGTCAAAACAGGTAAATAAACATACAGTACACATCCACATGCCAACGGTACACACGTACCAACAATATGTACTTGTGTAAAAACAGGTAATCATAATATACATATTGTTTTATCTGACCATGTGAGCAACAGCTACAAAGTATGATGTGTGTGGTTGAATCTCACGAGTCAGGTCTTTATAAACAGCTCTATGAGCCACATTGCTAGATGAAACAATTAGAAAGTAATGTATGTGACCTTCCCAGTAGTAGCTTTGAAAAAGACGTTAACTAGATGCAATCATGGTGCAATTTTGAATAATAATTCAATTTTGTCAATTAAAGAATCACTGCTTTTAATGAATTGTATTGCAACACACTAATAACACATTAATCTCGTTTCGGGTAGTGAGATTGCTTTCTTAACTTACCACATTTCACTGTGCACCCTGCAACTGTCTAACTGTACTGAGATTCAGACCAGTGAAACTCATACTTAACTCCTCTCAGTCTGTCAGACCACTGGCTAATTAGTTTCTCTGGAATGTAGTTGCCAGTGTTCACACATAGGCTGAGCTGTCAGAGAACAAACAAGTAGCATTTGTGAAATCCATTTCAGGGTGGGATTGCCCTTTAATTATTTAGCTGTAGCTTTCAGTATGAGAGTGTGTTCTCATACCGAGCCTCACCACAGCTAAAACGAAATTCCCTTTTCAGTATACTTTGTGGGTTGGCAAATACAAGATTGTGTTTTGGTTTTGCAATTTAATAATGTTCACTTGGAAGAAACTATTGTATGTACAACAGTTAGTTTAACACCTATTTAAATAGATAGACTATGTATTACTCCAGCCAAGTTGGTTCCAATGTTATAACAGCTGGCTGACTGCACAGGAAGCAAAATGGTACATGCCACAGAATTTGTTTCAGTTTTAGAGCATTTCATGTTTTCTAGGCAATAAACTTAATTCAAGGTCCGCAAAAAACTTTCTTTTTTTTTTTTTTTGCATCTTCAAGAGACTTCAGACCACATAATAAGTTTCAGGCTCACTGACAGACGTGATAGACCCCTCCTAAATATATTGCCCTTCACCAGCAGATCATATCATGAATACATTTACATCATACATTTTCTAAATGCTCGATTTGCGTTTGCCTAAAAAGAAAAGATGGATTCAGTGTGGTGGGCCAGAGGTTTGTTTCACAAAAATGCCTAACCAGTCATTGTTAACTCCCCTGGTGTTGTCTTCATTTTACCTTTCTCCTCCACTCCACCTCTCTCCAGATGTGCTGAAACTGCCAGCAAAATGCAGTATAGACTATCATAAGCACATTAAGTGCACATAAATCAGGCAAGTTTGCTAATATATTCTGTTTTTCCTCCTTTGGTTGCTGTAGAGGGAAAAACTGCATGTAATACTTAACTGTTACTCAACTCATTAAACTCATGGAAACTTTAAGTCAACAAATCTTACCATTCATGCATGTATTCATGTATCCGTTCATTCATCTGTGTAAGATTTCCTTTATGTAGCACAGAAACTGTGGGAATTAGATTACAAATGTATTTACCCTGCACCTCAAATGTATGATGCTTTATGCTATTGGAACTGTAAATTGATTATTAACTGATCATCTTGTGTTTAACAACACACTGTGCAATGCTATGAATGTGAATAGCTCATTTAATTAGATGCATGGTCATTATATATATGGTTGCTAGAAAAACATTTTGGAAGGATTTAGAATTATTAAGATATCTATACTGAATAATCATGCAGTGTGGTCTGCCCTATAATTTAGTACATTCCAGTGCAATCTGCCTAGACTAAAAACCCACAACCAGTTATACTTAATATCCTCCTCAATTAAGTGTATTGAATAATCTCCATGTAAGCTGGAAAGTACCCTTGGTACTTTAGAAAAAATGTGTGTTTAGTAAAATTAAATGTATTTGTTCATTAGTGAAAGCAACTAATTTCCTCTAGGTGCTTTTGAGTTTTCCACAACAATTGGTTTGAAATATTTCTGGGTTGTATAGATTGCACAGCCCATTTTAGGTTATGCCACAACAGGCTATGATGCCCACGTGGCCATTAATGATTAAATTTCTTTTCCCATTAAGGTATGGATTTCCTTTTTATGCTCTGTGGTCTTTTACTTGTTGCTTCACCTAACCCCTCCTAACCAGTACATGATCGATTGCTGCCCTGCCCTGCTCCTGTAAACGTTTTGGTACAATTTTTAGCATATTGTTCCCTCAGTGATTGCAAAGTGCCCAGGCCAATCCACAATGCTCCCTCCATCATGCTTCACAGCTGTATTTTTTCTCTGCAGTGTTGTTCTTCCTCTGATCTAATAATGAAAAACAGATGAGGCTTGTTTGTCTTATTGTAGACTCAGGAACACTCAGATTTTTAGTAGTGCTTTTGCATCCTCTTTCAGCTTTGTACATCTGTATAGTTCTTCTGAGGTCCTGTAAAAATTGCCCACACCAACCATTTGTTATTGAAAAGAGTAGACTTTGCAAGGTAATCATATGTATGCCTATTTATATGGAGGAGCACCTCTTTGCTTCCTATTTTATCAATTTATTCAAACATCTGAAATCTGTGTTTGTCTGTGGTTTTGATTTGACTGAAGGTCGGACCGTATTTTGTGAGTAATAAATGCAGAAAAAATAAGCATATTATTAAATATTTGATGTAGTTTTGTTATTTTACCCTGTTACACAAATAAAGCTGAAAATAGTGTGTTATACTACACTCATATATACATCAATGATTTGGTTTTTGATTCAAACTTTGGCTATAATTGACATAGTTTGTGCAAGAAAAGATGAGCCGGATGTGAGGAATAAAAGTTTTGGAATTGGATCTGGTATAGTGTGAGGAAATCCTGGAAAGCAAAACATAAAATTTCCCTCAGGGTGGAAAATAAAGCAGCATTTCCTTCTAAAATGTTGCTTTAAATATGTTGTTTTCAATTTGTAAATTGGCAGTGGCATGAATCTCTTTCAATGCATTTAATTTTTTAGTTGCTTTTAGGCCCAAATGTTCCAGCACATTGGATTCTGCTATATTAATTGCCTTAACACAGTAGCAACTGAAGTATAAACATCTATATACTTGAGGATCTAGTTGGTGTCCTCTGGAAATTATCAGTAACAGAAAGTGTAAATGAAGAACCATGATTACTTAGGATTGTTTCTGTTTGACCATTCACTCTGAGATAAACACAGGGCCAGAACATCAATTGCAACCCTGAACACAGCTTACAATGACTGTTAAGGAAGTTAATGTGATTTTTACCTCTTGCTTTCTCTTCATGTTTTTCCTCTGCCTGTTTCTTTTCTCTCCCTTCCAGTGTCCCCACACACATACACACTTAAACTCTTTATTTCTTTCCTCACACTTGCTCTCCCTCTCTTAGCTGAGTTAGAGCTGTCAGAGTTGACCTGTCTGTCTCTCTCCCACTGAGCACTCTGCATGATTCAACCGTATACAGAGACACACATCTTTTCCCCAGTCCTATTCTTTCCCAGGCACGTTGTGTTTAATTAGCTCCTCAGTAGCATGGAAATTGCTTCTGTTTTTGTTTTGTTTTTTTGGTCTCTGAGATAAAATTGCATGAGTCTTATTGAGAAAGTGTCAAGATTGTCATTGAGAGTGGAAAGTGATGGCTTTCAGCAGCGGAGAGGCATATGTACACAAAGCTGGGTCAGTAGTTTGTGTGTGTGCTTTGTGAGTCTCCCACAGCGACTAACATGAGGTGGCAGGTTTGTGTCTCTTTATGAAGCAATCTGGAAAATGGCTGCAAGAAAAGGTTGCAAGTTGGTTGATCCACTACTTTGATCCAGCCGAAATACCCCAAAAACTACTTTACAGTAGGTCCAAATCCTCTCATGGGATGCAAGATGAAAATATGCTTAGGCTGTGTTCCTGATTTTATTTTAGTTTCTAAGTCACAAACCTTCATGATTGCATCAGTTATAGCCCCTGAGCCCCTTCTTGTTTGCAGTGGTGATGGACAGGTTGTCAGATGAGATCAGGCAGGAGTCTCCATGGACTATGATGTCTACAGATGGCATTGTAATCTGTAGTGAGAGTAGGGAGCAGCTGGAAGAGAGCCTGGAGAGGTGGAGGTATGGTCTGGAGAAAAAAAGAAATGAAAGTCAGTAGAAACAATACGTGTGTGTGAATGAGAGTGAGACAGATGGAAAGGTAAAATTGCAAGAAATAGAGATGGCAAAGGTAGACGATTTTAAATACCTGTGTTCAACCACCCAAAGGACAATGCACAAGAGAGGTGAAGAAGAGAGTGCAGGGAGGGTGTAGTGGGTGGAGACGATTGTCAGTGGTCATTTGGGAAAGACAGAGACCAGCAAGAGTGAAAGGGAAGGTTTACAAGGTGGTAGTGAGACCTGCTATCATGTATGGTTTGGAGATAGTGGTACTGGTAAAAAGACAGGAGGCAGAGTTGAAGATGCTAACAATTTTATTGGGAGTGACCACAATGGACAAAGTCAAAAATTAGTTTATCAGAGGGACAGCTCAGGTGGAGCACTTTGGAGAAAAAGTTAGAGGGTCGAGGATGACATGAGGAAGGATCTTAGAGAGAAACCGATGGGTGTAGTAAAGGAGGATGTGCAGATGGTTGGTGCGACAGTGGAAGATGATAGGAATAGGGTGAGATGGAGGTAGATGGATACACCCTGATGACCCCGAAAGGGTGCAGCCAATAGAAGAAATCGTCAAAGACCTTCATGGAACAGAACTTTTTTTTTCCAAAGATTTATTTATTGCTTTTCCAAAAGTATTTTAAACAAGGAAGACAGAGAAAAATAAAATGAAATAAAATAAAGGAGAAAATGAATACAAATTGAGTGTGTAATAATAATAATGCATGCTCATCACGTATAGACGGTGTGCGTAAACACACAGATACGGATATATGCACTCACCCATGGAGATATACCTATATATTGTTTAAAAAAACACCACACAAAAACAAGGGAACAGACAGTGCTCAAAGATCAGGTACAACACAGTGAGACATTAGGTTTAAGTTCGTTACTCCAGGGTTTTTGGCGGGAGTTTAGTCCAAGGATTTCAAGTTAGTTAGAAAGGCATCCGACAAAACGGCTGCAGCAATGAGCTGTGTCCTCTTCCATTTCAGTCCATTTAATTTCACATCTCCATCTCCTGCCCTTCCATTGAACAGTCCAGCATATGCAAGCTCCCCAGGTTCTCTTCAAAAATCACAGCAACACATCTCCCGTACAAGTTAAATGGGTACAGTCATAACTGTTCACTGTCGGTCATCTCCTCACATTCCAAAAACAACAAAAAATTTCCCCACATCTTTTTAAAGGAAGCATGTTTACCCTTAATCACAGACGTAAGTTTTTCCAAACAAGGGATTTCGACAATGTCAAAAGCGAAGTTCTCAAGTGTGGTCTAGTAATGGATCTCCATGATTTGGCTATGCTATATTTTACCGGTAACAGGCAGTAGATTGTAGTATTTTGGTGAACTTTGCTCAGCTGGCTTTCAGTGGGGAAAATCCCTAGGATACATAATTTAGGACACAGATTCAGCTTAACACCTGTAATACGCGCACTGACAACTAAAACTTCTTTCCAAAACTTTTGGATTTCTGAACATTCCCATAGACAATGCATCAGTGTGCCTTTATCCCCACATTTAACACATATGTCTGGAGTTTTAGGGTCAAATTTGTTTAACAATGTTGGGGTGACATATGTTCTCATTAGCCATTTATATTGGATGGTTGGAGGTTGCTATAAAAGCAGGATATTAAGCCCTTCTTCAGCTGATGGTTTATTTCTATGTCCTCTAATGAGGTAAGAGTGGGCAGTGTTAGGGATTTTTGAGTGTTTGAAATAGCGATGGACCGATCCGATATTACGTATCGGTATCGGTCCGATACTGACGTAAATTACTGGATCGGATATCGGAGAAAAATAAAAAAATTTAATCCAATCCATTAAATATCAAAAAAGCACCTCGCAAAACTTGCGACATGGCGTAACTCGGCCCATAACCGTAGCACATCAGTACACAGCAGTACGGGTCACGTGATAGAGCGGTTGTGTGTATTTGTAGCCTTGCTAGCAATCTGGCATTTCATCTCCGAGGAAGTTTTCCCAGAGAGAAGTAAAGCAAGTGTGTAAGTTCATCTCTGAATGTTTGTAAAGCATTCCCGCGTTAAGCTTAACAACCGATATATGGAG